TCAGCAGAATGGAAGTTTGAATTAACTGTGTAACATTTACTGCTCAGATAAATAGTCTGCTGTTATTTAATCTACCGGTTTATGAGCAATCTTATAATCAAACTGGGATAAGCACATAATCCAACGTGCATTCTAGAAGAGGGATCTTTAGTTTAAAAACTGAGAATGAAGCTTGATCAGAATATACTGTAAATGGTTACCAAGAAGATGTCTAAAATGTGCTGTGGCCCAAACACTGCAAAATTCCCTTCTACAGTACTATAACGTGTTTCAGGACCTTTATATTTTCTATTAGCATAACAATTGGATGTTGGAAACCGTTAGAATCTTCCGACACAAGACAGCACCCAGTGCATATTAGAAGCATCTGTACTCAAGGAAAAGGTTTAAGAAATTAGGTAAAGCCAAAATGGGTTCATTCAGAAGTTCAGCTTTTAGAATATCAAAGGCGTGCTGATCTTCAAGTGACCAATAAAACTTTAGTGAGCTGAGTTAAAGGAAGTGCCTTTTGGCAAAATTGAAGACCTTTGTAAAAGCCAATATAAAAGCCTAAAAATCGCCTAATTTCTTTCTATTTTTAGGTGCAATAAAACTCTGAATGGTCTTTAAATTTTTATCATCAGGCTGTATAATACCCTTGGTAACTTTATAATCCAAATACATATTTGTTCTTTAGAAAATGACATTTAGAAGTGATATTAAACTCTGCACCTGTGTTTGAAGAAAGCCCATCATTTTTGTAAGTTGAGCTATATTTTCCTGTTGCATTTTAATAGTTGTAGTGAGCTTGAGTTGGTTACGATGTGTTTGTAACTGACTTTTCGACTGCTGGCTTAGCAGCATTCACGCTCTAACCTCAGCTGTTCAAAATCACTACTAGCATGGCTCTTAGCCCACAGTTTCAATAATTGCATGTTTTTTTAGCAGATGCAAGTTTGTGATTCATGGCAATAACAAGCGTGAAATGCAACTGCAATCCTGATAATAAACACTGACAGAAGTAAATCCTGCCTCTGTGCTTCTGCTGCAGGGTCACTGCTTCTTTCCAGTGGTACAGTTTTGTACGAAGCGCCTATAGTGCTGAAAATTGTTCGCACTGACTCGTGTGGTTTGAAAAGCCTGAATAAGAGCCGGATGTTAGAGTGCAAATGTGCACTGAACTGAACCTCTCTTTCACGCTTTCACGACATAGCAAGACTGGCTTCTTTCTTTAACCTAGGATTATTCCTAATTAATTCAGCAGCCTCACCTGTCACCTTGACTCTGATCACTGTTAACTTGCCATCATCTACCACCCACATGAGTGGCATGAGATCATCCTATCTAAAAGTCATTCAGACTTTCCCTTGTCTGTACCTGAGAACAGAGGACCAGAATCCCAGAGATCAGAACCAAAAAATGATAGAGCCATACTTTTGACTCTCCTCCCAGTCTATTGCACTATTACTAGCCGCTCTGGCTGCTCGTTTTGACACTTTCTTTGGCATTTTAAACTGCAATCAGCAATTGTCAGCCAATAAAAAGTAGGGAGTATCCCAATGGTGATTAAATGCGTGCCTTTTAACCTTATTTGCAAACATAAGTTGCAAAAATGTGAAACAGTAATCCTCAAACAATATGTTAAAAAGCAATGCAAAATTGCACAAAAGAAATACTTAACTAAACAGGTACTGCTTGAAAAGTTTGTGTTTGGATACAATAGTTTTTCGCCCAATGTGTTCAGTAGTACATATCGGTATGCAACCTCAAATAATAAGTATAAAATAGCACAGTAATACTCCACTGTAAGACCCTGTCACTGTAACTAACTAAGAGTACAGTTTCAGTAAAAGCCTAGACATGTATAAGAAAACTTTCACATAAATATGCAATAGTACACATGACAATCACCAGTCTCACGTCAAAATCAAGTTCAATTAAAAGTGCAAGCCAAAAGGTGGTGTAAAAAAAATCACAGCACAAAAAAAAATTGTTAAGTGCTAAGATGGTTCGAAAGGGAACGGCACCAAAAATGTTAGGTGCTAAATTTGGTTCGAAGATTCACGGCACCAAAAATGTTATGGGGTTTTTGAATTTACCTTTAAATTTTCCAAAGTTACCAAAAGGTACCCTACAGTTGACCATAACATATAAAAAAAAAACTCAATTCAGCAATAGATACAGTAACATAAAGTTGAAAGTTTTGCGTTGTTTTCTTCCGGATTAACCCTTAATCATTTGAGTAAAAGACGGTAAAAATCATGAGCACACAAAATAATTTAACCATTGAATGATCTAGAAAACTTATTTATTTAATTCTTATGCATTTAGTATATCCATTTCTTAGAAAATCAACACAAATTTAAACACTTCAGTACTATTGAGATTTCAATCCATACTCTTACTGAGTAATATTACTTTAGCCTTAGAATCTCTATTAAAATTTACCTTTACAATCTAGTAAGCATATCAGAAATAAACTATGAATAAATGAACAATACCCTCCCCGGGGAGTGAAAAAAATAATTTAACAAGTTACACTTTCCAAAAAAAGGAAACACTTCACACAGAATAATCAATACAAAAAAAAATATATTGCCTACTATAGCACTCAATCACATCACTTAAGATACTGCTATTGCACATAATAATTTTCTATTTTTTTTTTAAAGTATAGTTTAACCGGATAAAAGTCAAGTAGTTACGCTATTACAATTCAACAAACAAAGTTAATCCCTGAGAGGAGCAAAAGTGCTCAGATACTGGTACTATTACATATGAATCCTCACCATGAGGGATCTCCAAAAGTTCAATTAAATAATTTCATGACGAACTTATTTTTCTTTTACAATTCAGTTACAATAATTAAAAAAAAATTAAATCCTTAGTCAATTTAACGCTTTACTTCAACTCAACAAACAGAATTAATTCCCTAACCAATTAACTATTAGAAAAGAAAAAAAAAAAAAAAAAAAAAAAAAACACTCACTAGCTGAAACTTCACAGGAGCCTGGTCCTGGCGAGTAAGAGGCGGTGGAACTCCAAACCAATTTCTTGAAACCAACTGTTAACACACCAAAAGAGACGTTAACGAAAAAGTTCCTGTAGGCTATGGTCACGGAATTTCTTGAAATAGTAACTTTAAAATTTTTTGAGTCCCAAAAGTCTAATAGAAAAGTTCTTGGATGCTATGGGCAAGGAATGTCCTTAATTAGAAGCTTTAAAATTTTCTTGAAAAAACCGCACTGATATCTGTTGAAGAAATTTGTTGTCGAAAAAAAAAATCTTGACATTCTGGAGATAAGGACAGCATTCAGTTATCAACTAATATTTTCCTTTTTTTCTTAGTAGGGATCTTGAAGAAGGCACCAACTAGTCAACATTTTTAAGAGCTATTATCGATGCTTAAGGTATTTAGCTATTGCAGATCATACATTTTAAGAGCTATTATCGCTGCAGTAGGAATTCACCTTATAAAGATGCCGAACATTTTTCTCGGGCCGCGTGCCACGAGAAACGGCTACTGGAGCCGACATCATTAGGGTAATATCGGAAAGCTATGGCCTAACAATTGCCCTTCAGAAATTTTCATGTAGAACATGGCTCCAGAAGTAAAATCAGCTGCCGGCTAGCTCCTACTCCGCGGCAAGTGAAAACAGTATAAAAAGTGTCCTCGTCCCCCAAAACAACCCGTTAAAAGGGAGGGCGCTGGAATTCCAACTTGGCACAACTCACCTCCTTCGCCAAAAGTTAAAATAGTTGCAACTAACAGCATTCCTTCATGTTAGCAAACTCGCGAAATCCACCACTTTGAAACCCCAACGGAAGATTCTATGTCGCCAAACCGCTCGCCAAAATAACCACGCCTTGGTGGATGGGGAAACTTGGAATTTCAACAACCCTGCAGCAGTCCCAACGAAAGAATGCTGAAACTCGCAAAAAGTGACTTTTCAACCGGAAAAGGGCATTTCATCCCCCATTACCGAAATCAGAATGCACAACGGAAAAATCTACTAATTAAAGCTAATAACTGAAATACAATTAAAGTTAGAAAAACGAAAGTTATGTCAAATTAAAGAGCTAATTTTCTGCAACTAATGATATTAAATACTAAAAAATGAAATTAATTTTTGACATGAAAGCGGAGTATATTACGTGAAAAAATTCACCTAAATTCATTGTTTGCGTGTACAAGATTGAAGACGCAGTTCGCGTAAACTCGGAAAACCAAAATATATTACACTAGAATTAATAAGCCAAAAAAGAATATAACCAAACTTGTGTAGCTCAAATTTTGAATAATTACAAATTAAAATTTTTATTTTTATGAATCACTTAATTAAATTAAATTAAATTCGCTACACAACAACACTTTAATTTATATGAAGATTTAAAATTATGAAAGTATGAATGCACTTATAGACTGCATACTTGTAATATATTTATATCAGAACCGTTCTTTTGCCAACGTTTATGGAATGTAAGCTAGTGTGTAATTTTACATGCATTGGTATTTTTAAGGCAATTTCGTGATTATCATTTAATTATTTCCAAATACGTTTTTCTTCTGCATCAGATTTGTTTGGCGAGAGTACTAATTGATATGACTGCGAAGTTCCTATTTGGGACGTAGCCGTTACGAAGGTGAAAGTCTTGCGCCCGCGTGGAAGTCTATTGAATAGAGACCGAATAATATACCTCTTATTTGAAAGTATAACTATGCATCTGAAACCAGTATATATCGGTTTCTGTATGAAAATAAATGCTCATTGGTCGCCACATGCTAGTTACTTTATTAGTAGAAAGGGATTTCAATGACGATGGTGATATAAATCTTCAGAGAAGTTTTCTGTTCGAATAATTTAAAATTAAATAAAAAACATTATATCGAAAATCTGTGGGAAAATGGATAAAAATCACCGATCTAAATAATTGGACTTTAGTTCGAATCCTAGTAAGCAGATTGACTGCACGGATTTCACACTGCTTTCCCGTATGTAACATAAATACCGTTTAATTACCATTAAAAGATCCTTTACGGAGATATTCCATTCCTTACGCGGTAAACTGCAATGCGTTTTGCCGTTTCAAATTAAACAGACAACAAACAAACTCATCGAAAACATTTAGTACGATAAAACTGTCATTTTATCGTACTAAATGGGTACCGCACAGCTCATGGCTAATATTGGAGGGCTCATCGTTGCAAGTTGAAATTATGAGCATGCTGTTTTAAATTAAAAAAACATTTAAGATCAAGAAAAATGTGTGAAACATACCTGGTGTTGCCCATGTTATTGCCGCAAGCAGTGAAAAAATGAAAGTCCTCATGTTGCTGCTGAGATTACGGAGCATCTGCATTTTTAACGATTTTTTATGATTTTTATAGCACTTTATCTCAAAATGCAAATGAGAATGAAAACAGCTGTTACTTCTTCCAGATAACGATTTAACCAAATCTTTCAAGTAACGAGATAAGAGATGATTTAAATTATATATAAATAAATATATATATATTATAAGAAATGTAAACCTCGTAGGTTTACATTTCTGATAATATTAAAAAATTCAACAATGATATCCGGAAAAAAATTGAAATTAGCTTGATTTGCAATGCTAGTAATATAGTTTTCAAAATTTGGTGCAGAACTCTAGTAAAAGGGTCAGGGCAATGTACCAAATCTTTCTGGAATAGAATTCTTTATATGGTGTTTAACTCGAACCATAGCCCATTCGAATGCTTGAAGCATCAAGATAATAAATTGTGCAGATATTGGTCTGTAGGGGCATATACGTGCGCAGAGAAAGTGTGGCGTCAGTGCTGGCAAAGTATTGGTTAGGCCGTTTGTGACATAAAGTTTTGTTTCATTGCTGCTTCAATGAGCAATTAATTTAATCATTTTATTATATATATATTTTATGTTATCTTCGTTTTCTGAAATTTCAATAAAAATAATCATGAAACTTATGCAGATAGCTTGTGTGCTTTGACTAAATTAAAAGTAGTCCAACTGGAAAAACTCATTTTCCCAAGTCAGCGAACATCGATCACGGAAAGTTGGAGAAATCAAATTCAATTTTGAAAATGATTGTAAAAAGTTATAAACATTGAAAACCACAATATTTTAATAAGTTTTGCGTTAATCAGAAGTTTTGTTATACGTTTGGATTACAGAAGATTGATCGCACTTTTGGAAAAGATTTTGATAATTAATTTTTATGGACATAACTTTTACTTATTTTTATTTAAAAGGGATTTTCTTTCGACGATTTGCTTCTATCTGATAGACTTGATTTGGCTGCTATAGGTCGAATTCTTCGTGAAAGTAACTTTTTTTAGGCAGCGTTATGTCAGTTTTTGACATATTCCCCTTGGGTCATTTTCCAAAGTCCATTCAATGATCCTCGATGCTGTTTTCCTAATGGCCATTTTAACAAACCGAAAGCGAAGCCCATAGAAGAAGTGTTAGGAGATTTTATAGGTATTTCATTAAATGAAATGTATTTTATTCCTTTTCTGATTCTTTATTTGTTAAATAAGCAGTAGTTGACCCGAAATATCAAAATCCAGCCTAACATTCTTATGATTTTCGCATAAATTGAGAAGTAAGATAAAAAGTTCTCACTTACATTAGATTCATTCTCCACCAAAGTAGTACATTTCGTCCTTTGTTTTATAACTTTTGGCTTCATCAAAAGTCATCTGGTTTCGGCCAATCCTTTCCATCTAGTTATAACCAAACGGTGTCCTCCCAAAATTTCAAGAAAACGAACTTTGCCACTAAACATCCTCTTGAAGGTAAATCAGCCAGATTGATTATATGGATCGAGAATGGTTTCCAGCCTTGCATTCTAGTCAACCTAAGAATATGCTAACCAAGGATCATCTCTTCTTAGCCACTGTAAAGCTGTGGTTGAATCTGTACAAAAATATTCGAAGATATTTTGAAGTTTGAGGCTCATTTTCACAAATTCAGCTTAACATGAACTGAGACAAGAAGATAAAAGTTCAAAGCTGGGTATTGATATTTCCTGCAAAGGCGCTACCCTCGACTTTACATCAATAGCTGTACAGAAACTTCTTTGTCGGATTTACACATTAAGTAAACAACAGCAGCATAAGAAGTCCGGCAAACATCGGAAAAAAATGTGTAGATTCACCTCTGAGTGCTCAGCAAGAAAAACATGTCTGGGAATTTCCACAAAGCGCAGCAGATGTAGATCTTCATCTCATTTTAGGAATTTTCTTTTAATATTACCGCTGAGTTCTAGCTCAGTTTAAATTTCCAACTTGCCTGAAGCATACGTTTAGGTAACAACGCGGCTGGACAAGAAAATCCAAATGGATAAAAAGTCTTTTGCGTGAGAGACAATTTGCTTCGTCTTGTGACAGGATCTCGATTTATCTTTGGTGGGTATGCAACATCTAAGCGTATCTGTTGACCTATTCCACACTAATACAGAAGATATCTTTGAATCAACACATAATTCGTCGGAGACTTTTTGATTTCTGTATATCGGTATACTCCCACCTTCTCAGGTCAAATTTGGCTTCACCCGTAACCTTTGTTGAAATCTCTATAAATTGCTTTAATTCGTCCTTGGCTTAAACTGAGGCGACTCAGTTGTCCACCTAGAAGGAAATACTGAGCTTTTTAATAACTTTACAATCGAAAGATACAGAATCAAGGGAGGAAAGCACCTTCTCTAAATGAAATTGTAAAATTGCACTTAATGACATCGGACTGAACTTTATATCAAAAACAACTTTACAGTGATGAAACATCTTCTTCTGCCCGTCTTCACCCCACCAGAGGAATTTCATTTATTCACGATCTTATTTGGCTACTGAAATTGGGACGAAGACCTTCTTTATATCAGATATTATTCCAATTTTTTCTTGACGAAATTTCATGAGCACTGACGGAATTCGTTCTAAATAGTTAGGCCTCCTTCATTAAAGAGTCATTTAAAGACAGGTTTCTTTTTGTTTGTTTGAAAGACACATCTAACACAGGACGAACTTTTGTTTGCAATTTTCTTTGAACACCGATGAGGCAAGCAATGGCCTGGACCTTCTACACCTTCTTCGATAATACTGTGAACCAACCACTCTTTGAATACGTCATCATAAACATAAAACTTATTATCTCCTCTCAACTTTGAAGTAATAAAATTTAAATAACGTTCTGCTCCTTCTCTATTACTTAGTAAGTCTACTTTACTTTCTACCTAAGGAAGAATAATTTCGTATTTTCCTTTTTGTCAGTAGTATGAACAGTCTGCCTAAATGATGTAAGGCGACTTGTTCCAATTCTTCTTTACTTTTCCTCTCACATATGTCTGTAATACCTATCGCTTCGAGATTCCACAAATTAGCGATATCATCACTTCGAACTAACAGAGATATGACACAACGATCTACATTATTAACTTCTGGTTTTCATATTACTAACCATTTCATGTGTCTTCATTGCAACGAGTCCATATTTTAACTGATATGTCGATCCATCAAAAAGTTTTACTGCGTAATCTGCTCCTATCAATAGTTCTATTTGAGGAGAATTCGTTCCCACATTGTAAAAGTAAATATCGTTTTTTTAAATCTCTTTTAAAAAAATCTTTTTCTTTCAATCTCAGCGCAGTGCAACAATTTCCTGGTTGATCCAAAACTTCCATTTGGCAGGAGTAATTACCTCTCAATCCTTTTATCTGTCAGTACTGCATAACATTTATGATTCGTTTCGAAGTACCACCCCCAAACACTGTATTGTTTAAAAACTCTGACCCGGATGGTTTTAACCCAAGCTTTCTAATGTATATTTCTATAAGAGCTCTTACTATTGTCTGTTTTTCACAAACTTCTGTTATAACAAATATTGCCCAAAACCTCACCAGACTGCTGTGACTTGAAAGCGACGAATCTGAATAAAATTTATGATCTTCCGCTGTTGACGATTTCAATTTATTCTTTACCTCAGAGTACATAATCGGCCAGTGTTTTGTAGAGACATTAGGATTTTTTGAAGCAGGAGAAATGAAAAATGAGCAATGCCCTCGCCGGGACTCGAACATTGGATGTCTCGAATCCGCGGAGTGTGCTGACCACTACACCACGAAGGCATGCTAAGAAGGCGGGAGAAATACTTTACGTACTCCCCCTTAAAGGAGGAGTACGCATCAATCAAGTAATAAATGCAGGAATTTCTAATAATTAATGCTCAATAATCCCCTAATCCTAATTTAACAATTAATGTGACAATTAACATTTCTAGGAATTAATGTCCTCTAATCCTGGTGGTGCAGAATCTTCATTCACCACCTTTTTTAGTTGGAGCGCTACTCTAGAGACATTAGGTTATTTCGATGCTGATAGAGGTGAAAAATGAGCAATGCCCTCGCCGGGACTTGAACCACGATCTCTTGATACACGCCTAGCGTGCTGACCACTACACCGCGAATGCATGCTAAGAAGGCGAGAGAAATACCGTATAGTCTTTTACCGCAAATGACACATTTAATATGTATATTTTGCAATTTCTTGATAAATGACCTAGCTTCAAACATGAAAAATAACATTTATTACTCTAAAATATTTTGTTTTTCTTCAAGCGTAAGATTATGACCTTTAAATAATCTTTAGTCTCATGAGCTTTCCCAGAAAACAAACAATGCAAAGCAGTTCCTTTCTTTGTATCAGAAAGTAAATCCTTAGAGTCATTAGAAATAAAATTATTAGAATTATTAGAAATCCTTAAAATCATTCATTATTAGAAATTATTCATATTATTATTAGAAATCATTAATTCATTATTCCTGCATTAATTATTAGAAATTCCTGCATTAATTATTAGAAATTCCTGCATTTATTATTATGAATAATTAAATCATTAGAATGATTAGAAAGTAAATCATTAGAATTATCAACATAATTCAACATCTTTGAAATTAATCTTTCTAGGAGACATCGTTTGGTTCAATCTCTACTTTCGCAAATGAAACAGGTTTTTCGCTTTCAACTTCCATACGAAGAAACTCTCATAATTGCCATAATTTATTAGAGTAGGAATTTTCACATTTGTTCAACATAGGATTCCTTAGCCAAACTCTAAGCAATCCTTTGTATATTCAAGATTCAACTAAAGGGAACAATATAACAGAATATATACCAGAAGTCATTATCAATAGACTCAAGTTACCTCAAATAGGATCAAATAGGATTCTAATTTGTCATAAAATTGAACTATGTCACCTTTAGTTTTACCATTCGTAGCCTTTTTCACAACTAAACTCAAAAGTTCGAGTACATAAAATTTCACAAGTAATCCGTCATGACCGAATATTGTTTTTAAGCTTTCAATCGCTTTTCTGTAGTTTTCAATCGCTTTTCTGTAACTATAAATAATTTGCTTTGTTACCTGGAGACATACACTGCATTAAATAATGGAACTTATGTATCTCCACCAGTCATCCATCGTCGTGATTTCGCCGAAAAATGACTCCAAAAAAGTGAGCCATTTCCCCGCAAAACTTTAGAAGCTCAATTTTAGGAAGCTTCCATTTAGTCTCATGGACATTAAAGGAAGCAGCATTTTGCTATTTTAGTTAAAACCGAGTCATCAAATCTTTCCCTATAAATCTATACGACTTCATACTCGTCCGCGTGTTTTGTTTCCGATTCATGGCTAAGCATTAATTCCAATATTTTGTTATAAAGATCCACTAAACTACAAAATGCTCTTTCCAATGATGAAAATTTTACTTCCATATTCTCAATAGTTATAAAAATACCTTCAAATATTGGTTTTATGTTTTTATATAGTTTTGTAAAGTTTACTCTTACTGACGTTCTTTTCTTAATTAGAACATGGTTACAGCCGAAAACATCGCGGCAAAAACATCGCAAACGAAAACGTCGCGGAGAAAACAACGCAAGGCGAAAACGTCGTGCTACAAAACATCGTGGAAGAAAACATCGCAAAGAGAAAGCATCGCAGTTCTAAAACATCGTGGTACAAAACATCGTCGTCGAAAATAAAGCGGTTCAAAAACTTCGCAGTTTAAAAACCTCGTCGTCGAAAATATCGTGGTAAAAAATAAAGTATCTACAAATCATCGCATGACGATAACATCGCAGACATGCTTTTTTCGGACCTGCTTTATAACTGTAAATGGATATTCCCATAATGATTTGTGAGCTCAAAATGGAAAGAAGGATAATTTTTACTTTCATATTTTTTATTAATTAAAAAAATTTGCTGAGAAAATAAAAAGGAAACTTAAGCATAGAAAATTAATGCAACTTATAGCAGTTAATAGAATTTTAAACCGACATAGTTAACTAACAAAGGCCATTAATAAATCATTTTTTATAAAGTTTTTACTGGTAATTTTTCATGAAAAGTATAATCTATAAGTTGCATTTAATTTTCTATGCTTAAGTTTCCTTCTTACCTTTTCAGCAAAGATTTATTAGTAAATAAAAAAATGTAAAAGTAAAAATTATCCCTCTTTACACCTTGCGCTCACAAATCATTATGGGAATATCCATTTAAAATTATTAAAACCTGAAAAAAAGCAAGTCTGCGATGATATTGTCATGCGATGATTTGTAGATACTTTATTTTTTACCACGATATTTTCGACGACGATGTTTTTAAACTGCGAAGTTTTCAAGCCACTTTATTTTCGACGACGATGTTTTGTACCACGATGTTTTAGAACTGTCTTTGCGATGATTTCTCCCACGATGTTTTGTAGCACGACGTTTCCGCCTTGCGTTGTTTTCTCCGCGACGTTTTCGTGCTCGTAAATTTGTATTTAGTTAAATTAGTCAATTTTTAAATCCAATTACTTTATTATACAATTATTTTACAGACCATCAGCTCTCTCATGGCAGACGTTTTCGTCGAAAATAACAGACAATGTTGCCAATACATCAAGAGAAACTTATATTGCAGCGCCATATACATAAAAAAGCAGGTATAGACGCAACGGTACAAATTAATGCATTAATTAACATGTATTATCGGAAATTTCGCGTAATCGCTAGGAAAAAGGCGATTATAGACTTAATAGATTCGTATTTTGCAAATGGTAATTTGAGCTGTGCATGCTGCGTTACCTAAAGAAAGCGAGAAGAGAAGTAATTTCAGTTTCGGTTATTAGAAGTATTTATTTTGATTAGTAAGTAACATGTAAATCCAGTTAAAAATAGAAGGCAGAAATAACGAGTTTCAGAAAAGATGTCACCAAATAAAAAATATCTGCTTTATTGACAATTGTATAGCATTTTAAGCCTTTTCTCATCCGAGGCGGACATTCCGGATTTCCAGTTTGGTAGATGCCTGCCATCCTTGGCTTCCATGCTTTTCTTTATCCCGTCGATGCTGAAGGCAGTCTCACCGTATAGCATGACGGAGTCGTAGTCGAAAGGCGTCAAGAGGCGATTTTCGTGGGGTTTCAACAATCTGAATGCGTATTGCCACTCTGCAAATGACACAGAAATGAATGAAAATTTTGCATCTAATACATAGATTGACGCTGTTAGGAGTTTTCATATTAATTTACATAACGGAATGGAATGATTAACAAGACATTACATTTTATTGACATAAAATAGTATGTATTGATCATTGTATTACACATATGAAAATTATTGTTTTAATTTTCATTTGTAGAAAGAGGTTTTACCCTTTCTTTTACGCTAGTAATATTTAATGGGTACTTAAGTAGTAAAGAATAGATTCTGCGACTTTCGTGAAATATCGTTTTATATAACTTAACTGTAACCATGTCGTGAAACATTTCGCTTTGGATTATATTATATTTTGTTTTTTAGATAGAATCGTTTGTAAGTGATAGTTCGCTCTGTAACATTTAATAATTTATAAATGGCAACATTTATTATTTAGTAGCTTGTGATTGGCAACACTTTGGATAGATATATGAAAATAGAACTATGCTGGTATTGCAGTCCTCTGTAATATTCTATGATTATAAATAAATAGTTTCTAAAAACTAAAAGTGCACCCTCATTATTTTATATGGTGTCAGGAGTATTTTCTTTCAAAATGGAAAGTTTAAAACCACCAGAGCCGATGAAATATGATGGAAATCTTGCTTCAAATTGGCAAAGATGGCTGCAGTCGTTCGAAATATATGAAGTAGCTAGTGGATTACATAAAAATAAAGGAGAGAAGGTAAGAGTTAATATTTTTCTTTATGCAATAGGAGTTCGTGGTCTTGAAATATATAATACATTTCCTATAGAAGAAAGTAAAGAATTTAAATTAAATTAAATTAAGGACAAATTTACCGAATACTGTATTCCTAAGAAAAATATTACATATGAAAGACCATTTATTCTTTACTTGAAATCAAACCGCGTCAGAACCCATAGATGAAAATGTAAATGACCTACGAAATAAAGCTAGAACATGCCAGTTTGCACAGTTAATGGCTAATTTAATAAGGATGAAATTGTTTGTGGTATTAAAGATGATGTAGTGAGAGAAAGATTATTACACGAAACATAATTAACATTAGAAAAAGCTCTTAATATATGCAGATCTGCTGAAATAAGTGCACATCAAATGAAAATCATAAAAGATGAGGAAACTGTTGTGAACTTAGTGAAAAAGAAGCTAAGTTAACATAATAATAATACATAAAAAGAGGTAAATACTGAGAAACTAGAGAAAAAAGTTTGTTCTAAATATGGAACATCTCATGAGTATCGCAAATGTCATATGGAAAAATCTGTCATAAATGTAAAAGGCAAATAATTTCGCGAATCAGTGTAAAAACTATAAAATAAAAAATGAAGCAGTCAAGGTAAACGAAAAAGAGAAACAAATTAAATTAATAAATCACGACTCTGAGGAAGAGTTAGAATTTTATGTAGATACATTTAACCTTAATTCAGATAACAAAGAAGAGAAATGGACTGTTGACGTTAATGTAAATAAAAGTAAACTAAATTTGCAGTTAAATACTGGAGCAATGTGCAATGTTTATAATGTTAATGAAAAAAATGTTATTTCTAAAAGCAAAGTGAAATTGCTAAACGTTCCGAAACAGAAGTCTAAAATTAAAAGATTAGTTACATTATCTGGGAATAAAACGGATACTTTAGGAAAAGTAGTACTTAACTGCCAATATGGAAAAAATAATTATGTTGTGGAATTCCAAGTTATTGACTAAGAAGTACCTTCTATATTAGGATTAAAATCATATTTGCAACTAGGTTTGATTCAAAAAGTAATGTCTGTTTAGACTGAAGACTTACTGGAGGAATACAAAGATGAATTTGAAGGCTTAGGTTGTTTGAATGGAGAATATAAAATCCAGTTAAAACAAGATGCAATACCAGTAATTCATTCTCCAAGAAAAATACCCATAGCTATACGAGATAAAGTGAAGAAAGAAATACAAAGAATGGAAAATTTAAATGTTATTGAGAAAGTAAGAAAACCACTGAATGGGTAAATTCAATGGTCATAGTTATCAAACCTAACAAAATAAGAACATGTTTAGATCCAAGAGATTTAAATAAAGCTATAAAACGAGAACAGTATCCTATGTTAACCATAGATGAAGTTGTACTAGAATGCCAAACGCAAAAATATTTTCTGTTTTATATGCTAAATAGTGATTTTTTGGCAAATCCAGCTTGACCAAGAAAGTAGTAGTTTGTGTACATTCAATACATCTTTTGGCAGGCACAAATTTAAAAGATTACCTTTTGGCATATGTTCAGCTCCAGAAATTTGCCAAAGAAAATTAAACCAAGTAATAGAAGGTCTAGAAGGCATTGAATGCACAATAAATGATATCTTAATATGGGGATCTAATGAAAAGGAACATCAACTACGATTTAAAAAAGTACTCCAGAGAGCACGAGAAAATAATATGAAGTTCAATAAGGCTAAATGTAAAATAAAAGTTATTCGTGTGAATTATATAGAGCATGAGTTAAGTGAAAAATGGAGTAAACCTGATTTTTCTAAAGTGGAAGCAATTGTTAAAATGACAGAACCCTACAGATGTGCCTTCTCTACAAAGATTTTTAAGAATGATTAATTATTTAGACAAATTTATTCCTAACTTAATAACTATTACTGCACCATTAACACAGTTACTTGAGAAAAATGTTCTCTGGCACTGGACAGAAAAACATCAAAAAGCTCTCGCAACACTTAAAGAACTGGTTGTAAAAGCCCCCGTATTAAAATTCTATGATGTTAATAAGGATGTAAGTCTTTCAGTAGACGCATGTTCTGAAGGATTAGCTGCTGTTTTACTGCAAGAAAATCAACCAATTGCTTACCCTTCCAGAGCTCTAACAAAAAGTCAGAAAAATTATGCTCAAATAGAAAAAGAGCTTTTAGCTATTACTATTACTTTTGGATGTTCTAAATTTCATTAATATCTATATATATGGCAAACGTATTATAGTTGCAACTGATCATCGACCATTAGAAAGCTCTTTTTAAAGCACCACAGCGATTGCGAAGAATGCTGTTAAATTTACAAAAAATATGATCTAGATGTACGATACAAAAAGGGGAAAGACCTATTAATAGCAGGCACTTTGAGTAGAGCATCTTAGAATACAACAGAAGGAAATAATGATGAAGATACAGAAATTTGTACTCTGATTCCAGAATCTGATGACAAAATTTATGAACTCAAGAAATAAAGTGAATGTGATGCTACACTATAGTGCTTAAAGAAATATATTCTGAGAGGTTAGCCAGAAAGGAAACATCAGGTGGAAACATCAGGAAGTCAAAGTATTCTGGGACTATAGAGATGAGTTGACAATGGAAAATGATTTATGCTTCAATGGAGGAAGGGTAATTATTCCTTTATCTATGCAAAAAGAGATGTTAAATTTAATTCATGAGGGTCATTTTTGTATAGAAAAGTGTAATAAAAGAGCTACAGATGTTTTGTTTTAGCCACTTATGAACAAGCAGATAGAAGATAAAATTTCAAAATGTCCTATATGTAATGAACACCAGAATAAAAACAAAAGAGAGCCTATGATACCAAATGAAGTTCCCAATTTACCTTGGTATAAAGTTGCAACAGATTTATTTGAGATTAGCAAAGATGTATACTTATTAATTGTAGATTACTATTCCAACTTTTTTGAAATCTCCAAACTACCGGATACTCGAAGTCGGAAAGTGATCAGTTACATGAAATCTCATTTTGCAAGATACGGTATACCATTGACAGTGATATCTGATAATGGACCTCAGTTTGCAAGTAAAGAATTTTCAGAATTTGCAAAGAAATACCAATTTAAACATATAACAAGCAGTCCATACTATCCACAGTCAAATGGATTAGCAAAGCCTTCAGTACAAACGGCTGAGAAATTGTTAAAGAAAGCTCACGCAGATCATGCTGATCCTTATTTAGCATTGTTAGCTCATGGGAACATTCCAACTAATGCGATACTAGGATCATCCCAGCTCAACTACTTATGAGTAGAAGAACAAGAACGATTCATCCTACATCCAAAGAACTACTAAAACCTCAAGTTGTGAAAAATGTAAAAGAAAAAATTCAACCAAGAAAGAACAAAGCAGAAGTCATATTATAATAGTCATACAAAAACATTACTAATGCTAAACAAAGGAGATTGAGTTCAGGTACGTCAAGATAATCGCTGGAAAGCAGCAGTTGTATAAGAAGTATATAAGACGCCTAGATAATATATATTGAGATCAGGTGGATCAGTATTGAGAAGAAATAGAAAAGACATTAGAGAAAACAGTTCAGCTATTGAAGAGAATATCAGAGGAACAGAACAAGGACTTAATGCGCAGAAAACAGAGGTAAAAAGGACATGATTCCAGATATTTTCAAGAGCAAAGTTTAGAAGATCAACTACCAAACTCTGCTAACTCAGAAACAAGGAATGGTGAGCAAAGAACTAGAAGTAGGAGAGGGATTAGAAAGCCGGCCAGGTACTTGGTCTCATTTTAGACTGTTAAAAAAATGGCAACCCTTAATATTTAGTAACTTGTAATTAGCAACACTTTGGAAAATAGAGCTATGCTGGTATTGCAGTTCTCTGTACTATAATACATCCTATGATTATAAATAAATAGTTTCTAAAAACTAAAAGTGCACCCTCATTATTTTATATGCTCTACAAGCAATGCTCGTTTTAATCTGTTTACAGTACATTTTTATGTGTAAATATGTAAATAAAGTCTCAAAATATAATTTATGGAGATGCTTTATCGTAGACTGCTACCAGAAATTTTTAGAAGTACGAAAATCTATAGAGATATACGATGAACTAGTAAGTAACTCTTGCTACGTTTAGACGTGAATTTCTATAGGTTTAATTTTAATTTAACACGGTATCCCTTGCCAGGATCAGCAGTAGATAACTGTTGAATTTTGAATAAATAGAATGCATTTTACATACAAGAAAACATGTATACTAAGAAATTAGTTAACTTGGGGAAAAAACGCGGCATATTTGCATGCATCTTTTACTGAAACATTGAATATGTTGGAAAATTAATTGGCGAAAACGGAAAAAAATAACATCCATTAATTTAGAAGAACTTGTTACAATTCTGACACGTACATAAATTAGATTAACTTTAAGTCGTTGATAATGAGTTAGATTTATTATTGGATTAACTGACTAACTATTTGAACTGAAAGCCGAAATGATATAGCAGGTGAAGAATGTAATGATAATATAATTATCGGGAAATTTCACAAAATGAAAGAATTCGCTACTAAAATAAAAGTATATCATATAATAATACGCGCAGAGGAGAGGATAACAATATTGTCACACCAAATACGAATTCGAAACAAATTGAACTTATGCATATTAAACTGCCTAAAGTTTAAGGTGATATTAATGGATGGTTAACATTTTAGAACAGTTTTGAATCCGCAGTTCGTAAAATTATTCTTTAAGTAAATTCTTGGTTTAAAATGTTTCTATTGTTTATGCACTATTATTTTAAAGGACCTGCCACAGTCGAAGTGAGTAAAAGAGAAAATTTAAAAGTTTATTCTGATGTTAATGAATTAATGAAAAACGTTTCCAAAGTTTTGAATTTACTCTTGCGAGCTGTATTAACGACTCAGTCTCATTGCAAGATTTACGTATAAGCTACACAAGCTATAGTTTAGGGTCCCCGCTTTCTTGGGGCCCCCTTCAAAATCGTCTAGGTTTCGAAAATCATATTTAGCACTGACATATAATATCGGGACATATAAAGGGCCACATATCTTAAATAGTTTACGGTCTTATATCAAGTCTAAATCTGGCCCTGCTCAGTCTGCTGACATTTATTTCTCGGAGGCAGGAGGCAGCCAGATTTCACTACCGGTGTTCTGAAAAAATACTCAGAAAACTATAAATCTGTAAACACAAGATTGCTTTTGCATCGGAATTCCTTTCAACACATTCAAAATACAATAGTCGAAACCTAATCGTGTATTTTGCGATTCTTCAGAATATTTCAGTAAAGATTGAGATTATGCTCTTCTCTGGATGAAAGGAAAGTGATTTTAATGAAAAGGAGAGCATGATTTAAATGTTTGAGAATTGAGAAACATGTTTCACGCTTCTTCAAAAGTAATGTAACTTGTGTGTAATTCAGGAAAATATTCGTCATTCATATGATTTTCTAAATACAAACATAAATCTAAGTATGAAATGAATCTAGCGAAAACCCAGTACTTACGAACCAGTAATTTAAAAGTGAAGTTTATTTACTAACATTCATTGTTCGCATCAAAAATAATAACTTATGCATTATGACAGATGTATTTACTACAGCGGATCTCAAAGAAATTACATTTCAAAACTTGTCACCGAGAAAAGCGGATTTGAAAGCTTGGGAGAAGGAAATATTAATCACGGCCTGTTCGGAGTCATAGAATAGTATGAAAAGCATCAGAGGTATCGGATTAAATTAATGAGGTTTGACGGAAGTTATGAAAATGAGTTTGAAGTGGTGGAGCAAACAAAATTTTGTAGTCCCATTCCAAAAATTGACGAGTCTCCAACGTTGGGTGAATTAAAGAAACTAGACATCTTTGTAAACGATATACGCACAAATGGAAAAACTTGTTTATTTGAAAGACATTTTGATGAGATTCATTGACTCACAGGAACAGATTTATTGAGAAAACTGCGCACTGTGATTACCTACGTGTCTAATTTAGCTATCAAACTAAAGGAATACGCGTATTATACAATTAAAAAAATTACATTTCTAGTTTTTACTGTTCCAGCAAAATTATTTTCATTTAACAAAATAAGTTATCGATAATTCAGTTTGACTTATTTAATTGCTTATTTAACTGGATACGCACAAGAATTATCTATTTAGCATCGTCTAATTAATCTCACAACAGGCTTGCTTCGGATAATATAACAGCATTCTTTGATGTCTTACATTTCGGTATTGTTTATACCAACCATTTACATTTCTTGCTTGAGCATCTGATGTTATAAAATAAATAAACGCTAAAAAGATGCTAGAAGTAATTCGCTCTTTTTTTTTTCAGTCGGTCGTGCTAATTTTGAAGTTGACAGTTTCAATGTATCTATGTACTTAATAAATTTTAATTGATTAATGTTTGTTTATTAATTTTGTTTTGGTCTACGCAAAACATTTTCCGTGTATTTTAAAATACTGCTTACTTAAAAGTTTCTAAAAACTTGGTATTAAGTAATTTGCTGTTTATTTATTTTTCCTAATATCACCTTTACTTATTTTTGTAATTAATTTTATTAAATTAACAGACAATATTACAATTAACAGACCTACCACATTTCTACTCTATTTTTCTTTGGCAGACGGCACAGGCCTTGAATAGGGTAAATCCATTATGAAAATCGGTAATAGCAATCGCTGACTGTCAACTACTTTATGAAAACCACCTCTACAGGAGACCAAAATTATCAGAAACCATGTGTAGTCAGTTAAAAAAGGTTGTATTACATTTAAAAGTATGAATAACAATGGAAAACTGCATGTGCAAAGTTTGCATCTTTACGACAATTGAATTTTCAGTTTTCGCATATCATAAATTTACATTCTTACAATTCTTCATCTTTAGAAATTACGGGTTGTTATTAATATGCCACATTAATACTTTTTATGCACGTTTTATATTGGATGTGATTTCTATCCGATAACTAACAAAGTACAGCTCTTCAAGTAGTGATTAGAAATTTTTCATATGTATCATATGTTATTATATGAAATTTCATATGTTATTATGAAAAATCACAAGCCTAAACATACTTACATACTTTCCTAGAAGATTGTCTAGAGGAACTGGTTAGTAATGTTACACATAAGAGAAATTGTGAATATCCTATGTAACCACTGCGATCTCCTTAAATCGGACGACCAGTGTCCAGCAGTCTATTTGTTAGGCTCAAACTACTGATGATTCATAAATGATTAGCATTACATGCATTCCTTTAAAATCCCACATTTTCTTAAGTCATGTAAAGTTGTAATTTGAAAGATAAATTAAAGGCCTTATACTACTTGCACTGGTAACACGTCTGAGAACTAGCACTCAGCTAGGCCATAGAGTAAACGCTCTTGTAGCCCAGCATATCATTAGAATAGAATACATTACTGTACATTAATTTTCTGGGTAACTTTGTATCAATTTCTGTAATAGCGGAGAGCAGTGTTTATATTTATTTCAAGATGTGAAGTATATCTATTTGACATGAGGCAATATATGTTTCAAAAAGTACCGGATAATTTTTGTCCATTACTTTTCGACCAGTGACAAAATTAGTTTATACATATGCATGATGTAATACTAAATAATTTAGTTATCTTATTATTTTAGCTTTACTTATTTTTTCTTTCGTCAGCTCCCACCGAATTCTGTGCAGCGGAGGGCATGTTCATATTCATTTCAATATGAGATGCATAGCTATTTGACATGAGGCTAAAGGTATGTTTCAAGAAATACTGGATAATTTCTATCCATTTTTTTTCAACCAATAGCAAAAATAGCTTCTATGTATGCTAGATTTTACACTTATCAACCCAGTTATTTTATTAATTTGGCTTTACTTTCAGTTCTCCTTTCGTCACCTCCCACCAGAATGCAAGATTAGTTGAACTATAAATGAGCGGAATTCACATAACCAGCGTTTTGCAACCTAGGCTGACCGTCACGCTGCTTAGCTTTTGTGCTCTTTGAATTCAACTTATCGGCTTACACTTTGGCTCGCAGCTTTGTAAACACTTAGGGTCGAGAAAAACTTCGGTAGGGCATGTTGATTTTTTACTTCGCTCTGAGTTTAAACTAAATATGTTTTTTCAATCACGTGCTATTTGCAGCCTCAATTTTTTTAAGCTTGTGTAACGTCAATTTAACTTATTATCGAAAAGCTTTTATTTTAAACTTTACTTTGAGTTGTAATGCCTTTAGAAAGCAGTAGGAACGAAAAGTGGTTTAACAATTTTGTGGTTATTTGTAGCTCATCTGATAGTTTATGTAATAGAATAACCGCACATATATATCATTTTATAAATAAAGTACTTACGCGGACTGATATTTTGCCAGTTGATGATCAGGTAATCGTCCCTGTCAGACCTGTTTTGTTCGTGAATAAAACCCAAAGCGTGCAGGAGCTCGTGAACCACAGTCCCCAGATATTCACAGCCTCGGCCTAATGATACCTTTTGTTCTCCGATGCCGAGTCTGCCCCAGAATGACCAACATCTACAAAGTACATGTATGTCAGGTTAGAACCTTGTTTATGATGAAAGACCTGAGGCTTCTCTGCAGAAAACGAAATATGCTAATTAATTTGACAAGGTTTTAATTATCTTATATTAATACAATAGGCAAACATGTGCTGTGGACGCAGTCAGTGTTCTCGTTTACAGATTGTTAAATGTTGCTATCTTTTTTTTTATTCGCTATATTATTTATATTTGAAATGTAAATTGATGAAAAGTATCCGAATGATTTGCTCTGGATATCTTTACCTGTAAAAATTGTTTCTGCTTAGATTTATAAACAAAGGTTCAAAATTTTTGTTTAATTTTTTGCTCTTCTGACATGCGTTTTCACAAAGTTTATACGAACTATACTTATATTCTTAATGCACAAAGGTACTAATTCAATATCTGAAAATACGGGAAAATATCAAAATGTTTAATTGAATTGTTCTCTGTTTCGAAGCTGTGGATGGCAATTTACAGCGATTTAAAATGGTATAAAATTAATTTTATGTTTTTTTTGGAAACCAAGTAGGATGCTATTTTTATATATTTTAAACTGTGAATTTTAAAATCCCAGTAATACAATCCATCGGATATTATAAGCTTTGTTATTATGTTTTAATTTTATGATTTCATTCTGTGAACTGTTTTGTTAGTAATATAAAGACATTATGAGATAAATGAATTTAAAGGCATGAGTTGCTTACTTTAGATCGAATTTATTGTTACTTATTATTCCTAATGTTAGCAATGGTATCAGTATCTTGGTTAATATGATTCAGAAAGATGAAGATAAAATAAATGACGAAGAAACAAGGGAGGGCGAAGAGAAAAAACTGCATGTAGCGTGAACGTGTAACTGCAGCTGCCGATATTTAACAAAAAAGAAAACATTAGAAAAACGAACTTCAATAATGTATTTTATTTTAAATTATTTAATTCTTCTGTTGCCCTCCATTCTGAAGTATGGAAAAAAGTCTGTAGTCTTAATTTAACTATTACCGTCTTTTTTCGACTGTAGTAGTTAAATTAAGTACAAGTTGAGATTGCGAAACTATTACAAGCATAAAAAAGATCACGTTTAATAATATGCATATGTACGTAAGATAATGACAATTCGAACATTTCAATTTTAAACCACAATAGACACACTCATCTGATTAGTGTTTATGTTTACAAGCAGTGTTTTCCAAAATGGGAATAATCAAAAACAGTTTGAGACAGATACGGTAAAAAAAATTTAGTTCTCTCTGTGAACTTGATGGGCTACCATCGTCAGTAAGCAGTCACAAAAGGCTAGTTCTCTCCTGTGCGCTCGAGGAGAGCTAACATTAACACATCAAAAATATTATTTGAGACAAATCATTGGGGATTGAAAATTATTACTCAATTTGTTAGAAAACGAGGGGTTTAATTGTAGGTATATAAGAGGAAATCTTTTGCAAAACTAATAGGTAAATTTTCTTATTTGTAATCATCATTATTGTTTCGGAATTTTTCCAAGAAGCTAGTCTCTTTATATTTTCGAATAAATTGCCAGAATTACCTGATGTGAATTTAATACCATTTAGTTTGCAATACTCAAATAACTTTTAGTTTACAATATTCAAATAACAATAAGGAAAATGATAAAAAAAATTCCTATTTACTGTTCTTATGAAACGTTAGAGGATAAAAGCTGCATAGATTTCTATTTATGTCTTTAAATATTGTTGCAATCATTTATGTAATGTTAAAGCCATATACACAAGCAGTGGCAAGTTATAAAGCACAGCTTAAATTACAGAATAAAAACACATGAAAATAAGAACATGAAAATAAGAAGAACAAGTTATGGAGCTTACCAATGTACTAAACCTCTAAATGATAAGCCTTGTTTGTTTGTATTCTTCAGCATATCGCATTATAGAACAGCGATTCCAAAATTAAATCGCTTGTTAATGTTAGACACAAATAGTGTATATCACTAGCTAGTGATTTAATTTTGACTAACATTAAAAATTAAGTTTTATCTAGTTTTCCTGTTGATACGTCTATCTCTGAGTCACGCTTATTCTCTCTAAAAAGCGAAAATAAGTTTAGTATAAAAGACTGTTGTAAAGAAAGGAAATGTGTCTTCTTCAAGCGACAAGAACTCAGTAACTGAAAATGAATGGGCGTTGATTATACTAGATATATTTGTAATGTATTGGGAAATTTACAGGGTTCTGATGTTGTAAATAATAGCTGTTAATATGATTATGAATAAAAAAGGAGAGAGATAGATGTTCTCATATTTGAATTATCCGCTAGATTGACGTTATCAGGGGCAAGAATCAAAAAGCAACCTTTGATTAGCCCAGATTTCAAATAAAACCTTGTCGATTTCAGTAGCTATCTGAGATAGTCTATCTTCTTCAGATATAAATTTGTTTTAGAAAAGTCGGAGAGAATAAATCTACTTTATATGCAGAATTTCAAAGAGTGAAGCAAGATGAAAATTAATTCACTATTATCTGTTGAAGAAAACAATAATCAAACTTAAAAGAGTTAATATATTAGAATTTTAAAACGAACGGAATAAATGGATTGGAATTATTGTCAATACTAGAGAAGATGTGGCTAACTGCAATTCTGAGTTAGTTCTTACCCGTTTGCTTGGACTATTCTGATGTAGTCCTTTTCATTTGTTCTTTGTTTGAATCGAATGCAACTTCTTTCTTCAATGTGGCGCATGGATTTCATTAAGAGGTCCCATATTGGATCTAAAGAACAAAAGTAAATTAGGAAGAACCTAATAATAATATAAAGGGTAATAAAAAGGCTTATTTTGTTACTTACAAATTTCTTCATCCACTTCATAAGGGACCACTCCGTTGGGCCATCGCTGAGAATCTCTTGGAATGGCGTTCCTATCCTGCGTGGAAAAAGGACATTAAACTGATCATTCTACGTTACTGATGAAATTTAAAACATACATGAATTTGTTTGATTTTGTTTTATTTAATAATGCGCAGATTCACTTTTCTTTTATTATCTATTGTAGGAGGGAAAATCAGTAAATAAGTTACAAACTGTTATGGAACAACTATAAATGGCACTGGGTAGTTTCAAAAGTTGTAAACAGGTAGCAGTCTAACAAGGTTTCGTACTCAGTAACAGCATGGATCATTGAGAGCAAATCAGACCAAAATTTAAATTGCTACGATGCTGAAGGAATGGGCTTAAAAAGAGCAATAGGCTGTGGTGACTGTTTTGTGAGCAACAACTCTTTCTGCTAAGAACATTCGTAAGGGAATATCTTTGCGTATGGGATGAAATGTTTATAGTGTTAAGCGATGCACAAATAGGCCATTATATTTTTCCAAGGAAATTTACACTATAGTAGATAGTAGGTAAGTAGTAGAAGTGCGTCATGGATCACAACAGTAACGCCCCAGCACACTAAAATTAACCCCAGCCTAGGGCCATTAGTTCACTGCTGAGTTTAAATGGAAGAAGTGAAGAGCTATTATTGGGGATGAGTCTCCTTTGATACCACAGTTGGATATTTATTCCGTAGTACATGTTCATCTGGGAAAATTTCTGATTTACTGAATCATACATTTGCACAGATTGTTACATACCACAGTTAGATATTTATTCCGTAGTACATGTTCATCTGGGAAAATTTCTGATTTACTGAATCATACATTTGCACAGATTGTTACATTATTTAGTATATTGTGGATGCAGATTACATTTGGAATTTCTTACATTATTCTTCTTGGCAAATTGAAAGCCCGTATTGCTCAGTTTTTGCATAATATTTTTGATTTTCAGCAGGATGTGAATGCGTCTGAATGAGCTTGGAAGGTTCACACTATAGCGAAAGATAGCGCCGCGTGGAAATTGCGATGGAGGAAACATTGTGGCCATCGAGGGAGGGGGGAGGTGATTCAAGCTCTATTGGATACTTTGCCAATAGAATTGTCTAATGTAATGAAAGCCATTCCAACGAATCATTCCCGAACTATATCCATCAGTAGGATTCGAAGGGAGAAGATATCCTTATTATGATCGTTACATTGTACGAAACTTAAGCGTATCGTTTACCAACCGGAAGCACAATTTGCTGTTGATTGTAATGGAAGCATTGTTTTTGTTGCCAACCAAAGAACTGTAGGGTTCGTCTCCACTACGGACTGTTTCTTTAGACCAAGGCCATTGCAAGCCTCTCCTCCATTTGCAATCGTAACTCGTGTCGTCATCATCACACAGCACTTATTTTCTCAGCTTCATTTAAAGCTGTAATTCAAGCTAACCTTCATTAATGTGCTTAGTCACGTCTCTTCGCATGCACTTGGAAGCTGATTTAGTATAGACAGACATAAATACTTAGAAATAAAATTCATTTTGAATCTGATATTGTATAAAATAGAATCATAATTTAAATTTGTATTCGAATAGCTATTGAATATTAGCCGTTCGCATATTAATTAAATGCATATTTAATACATAGAAACATAGTAAGCAAAAAAAAAACACATGTAAATTTATAATTCTGTGTACATCATTATATTATTCAGCTATCGTAATGAACTTTTCTTAAGAGAGGTAAAATGTGTATTTGTGCTGCTCTAGTTATTATCATGGTAGTTAACTACCCGTAAGTATTCAGTGTTTTGTTAGATAATCATGAATGTATCTTTGTTTTCATCGATTCAGTTTTAGTTTCTTCATCGCTCTGGTGGCCTTAAAATCGTGTTTGTTTTTCCGATGAGCAGTATGACGGGGAAAGGTATTTTATGTTAAAATTTCTAAAGTCATTTGCCGCGAAAATATTAATTTGAAATTTCTAAAAGTTATTTAACAACTGAAAAATTTTAAGTCTCTGAAATTAAAATTTTTCTTTAGAGTTTAAAACAAGCTTTTCGGTGCTATATAACATAAGATTCAGTTCTGTTATGAACTAAGATCCTTAACCGAACTTCATACAATTGTCTCTATATCCAGCAGATTATATGCATTGCAAAAAGATGTAATCTAAAGAAAGAAAGCAATAAAGCGATAAAATATTCCTTATTTTTCTCTTAATATTATTTATTTCATTGTGTTTTGTAACAACAATGCCAGAGAACTTGCATTTACCTTTTTAATTTCAAAATTCTTATAGGTTATCTCGACTGCAAACATTTCGAACTCTTTTCATTCATACAGATTGTCGTACTTTCGAGACTGTGTAAATTTATGCTCAATAATAATTTATTTGCGTTTTTTAAAATTTTTTCTAGATTTGTTCCATCAAAACCGAGGTTTTTAGAAGTTTTCCTTCAAATTAAAATCAGTACAAATTATAAATGCAAAAATTAAAAAACCCAAGGAAAAATTATTTCATTGTTAAAATAAAAATAAAGCGTAAGTTACATAAAGTTAAGTAAAACAATTATTGAGGTTGACATGAGTTTTCTATAAAATCTACTCTGATTTACGATTGATCTTTTGTCTAACTGTATTATTTCATATTGCCATATGACTTTGCTAACTATATTTGACGCCCATATGAATGAAAATTTATTTCGTTCTTTAAGTTTAATTCAAAGAGAAATGAGTCGTATAGTAGAATAGTTTTACATCACAAATAAAAATTAAAAAAAAAAAAAATCTGAAATGTTTCAGATTTTAAATTACGTCCAAAGGGGCGTTTTTTCAAACATTTTGTGTGTTACCTTTCTTTATTAAATATCATGTTCCTCGCACTTAACCCATAAGATCCAGTGCAACAGTAATATCGCAAATAGTTTTAAAAACGAGCATATCTTTAGAATTTCCGATACAGAGACTCACGCGCTGGAGATAAAAATGTTTTTTCTGCACAACGTTGCCATTGCTCGCTTTGAAATCCTTGAGTTTGTTAATCAAAAATTCGTCAAAGTTTTAAAAATAGGAAATCGATCATCATAAAAAATTTCAAATTTCAAATTTGGTCTTCCACATGCTCATATTCGTTGGAGGATTACGTTATTCAAAATTCGACGACTCTATGTACCGTTATTTTATGACAATGTGAGAAATATACATATATTTACGCAGATTTTCATTATTTAATTTCTTCAAATATAATGCAGGACTTTAACATTTTATGGCAACAGTTTGAAAAGTGAACCGACATTTATCCGTCCGACGCAAAATGCCAAAACGAAACTAATAGTCCTTCGGGATTCAAATCCCTTTGGACTAAAAAATACGTCCCAGGAGTATTGAAAATATTTACCGCATCGGGGTCAATTCCCATGATGTCACCTTCGAAGAGCCCTTCGTTGATCATCGGGTTTTTCACCACTTAAAAACAAACAAAAAGATGCTTATAACTACCAATAATATATTAAATCAATCTACAGTGTATTTCATAGATAGAACATTACAAATAGATAAAGATCTAATAAATAAAATAAATCTAATGGCTAGAAGCACTTAACGCCACAATAGCAAATCGCAAGCACAGTCAAGATAACAGCGGGGCCTACAGACAGGCATCACACGCTCTACAATCATCTTCTGAAACTTTAAGTGAAACAGCATTTCTTTCTCCCTTAATCTGAATAAACGAGCGTTATCTAAGTTATATTTTTGGTATGGAAAGCGGGGGTGAAAAGGAGAGTGAAAAGAAAGTAACTTTAACTCAAAATTAACTATTAGTCAAAATAAGTAAATAAATCTTCACAGCTAAAACAATTAAACAAAATTTTATATTTCTCCTAATTCAGCGAATAAACTTTAAATGTTTGTAACTTTAGGCGTACACTTATTTAGTTGTCTAGTTAATTAATTATGATAAAGAAAATGAGTCTTATTAGGTTTAGAAAGAATTCCTCCCTGGAAGGGTTTCTAAATGGAACTGTACATATTCACGTTATACTTGGAGAATATCACAAAAACTCCATGAAGCCAGCAGTAATATTTAAAGATGTACACTAGATGTTTAAAGATTTACCCACACTAGTAGGACTGCTCCATAATTATTATATAACGTTTACTGTTGTGTAACTCCCATTTCTAACAATTACGTAATATTACCACCTGCTTTAGAGGAATGACAAATTACGGAAATTGTTTTTTTAACACTTTTCTGCCTAAATCATTAACGGTTTCGTGGATCGCTACTATAATTCCTATGGCATGTTAAATTGAGCAAGAAATGGGAAAACTGGTTGTTGTTGCATGTGGCCACTTCTGAAATTTGTGAAATTTAGCTAAATTTAAACTGTTAGGGCTAATATGTAAAGTAAGATAGTGTGATATTTGAAAACAACATTGAAACATTAAAGATCAAAATAAAGAGTGTTCTGGATAGAAACGAGACAAATTTGAGCTTCTTTTTACGGTTAATGTAATAAGTATTATAAAATTGTAATATCTGTTACAATATATTTACTTAGTACTCTCTTTAGTGTGTTTTAAATTGCTCCGAAAATTACTTTTCAGTCACTCTTACGAAGATTTACATGTTTTCATGTATATTTCTACTGTTTCCTTAGAAATGATTTACACTTAATCAAAGGTATGATCTCTTAGACTGAATCAAACTTTGTGAGCACTTGCCTTTTAACGCCCCCAAGTATTTCTATCCTTACAAATGAAAAGTATTGGACTATAAAAACGTAAGCCATAGCATGTATGCAACCTTTCAAATGTCTCTGCTGCTGCCTTCACCGGCTTTGCAACGTAACATTAGTGTTGTTCTTTGCTCAGTTTTGTAATCCACGACAAACGATGTTCACTGCATCAAAGCAAATAACTAACTGCACAGAGAATTTTGACCGTAAGCAGACGATATTTTAAAGCGCTAGTTGGAATATTATTGCAAGAAATCCTGCAATTATCATTCGGCAACTTTATGTAGAATTTTTTATAAAAGCAGTCCTAAAACTTTGTACACACATTATGATGTACCTGTGTTGCTCTTCAAAATGTAGATGAGTAGCTGCTATTAAAACATCGTAAGAAAAATTAAAATACAGTTCATTCATTATTTTGAAAAACATAGGGACTTAATAGACACGTCGAATAATATATATGTGCGGTCAAAACAGTGCTATGTATATTATTTTCTGTGTTCATCTTCCAAATGTAGCTCAAATGGCTATCAAAACTATTTTATATGAATGGTTTCAAGCTCCAATAATTTCCTATGCAGTTTTATTATTGCTTATTAAAAATTATTGGATTGATTATTATGAACTATGTTTTATTTAACTAGCACGCTAATATTAACCGAAATCCGTTAAATTAGTAATAAAGAAGGATGCAACGTATACCTGGCGTTGCCCATGCTACGGCCAATAAAAGTGAAAAAATAAGAGTCCTCATCCTGCTGACGTCTCGACGTAGAATCTATATTTTTTCCTAATCTTCTGTGATTTTATAACACTTTATCACAAAAGGAAATTGGGATGAAAGGCATCTGTTACTTCTCCCACATAATTTTTTTAGCGATTACATATGGCATAACTGATAATATTAACATAATATTACATTATTGATAATATTAACGTATTTAATTAAAACATTTATTGATATTTAATTAATTTTTAAATAAACTAATCTGGTGTAGTCTGAGTGAAAATTCCAAACAAACACTTCTGAAAGATGTTGCCTGCTTAATATTGGCTTACCAAACGTATTTTTGCAGAAAGCTATGAGGTTAAAAACATCTTTAAGGATAATTCGAAATGTTTTAGGAAATTAAGTTGTGAGTTTTCTTTAACTTAAATAAAAAAATATTTTAAGTTTGATTTTACGTTTGCAGTCTGTACTGTCAGATTACTGTCACTTTGGAATCTGTACTGTATTTCTTTTAACGTTATCCCGCCAGAGTGCAATGAGTTCGCATGTATTTAAAGGGAGGTTATGTTATGTTATGTGGAAGTGAGGGGGCCACCTAATATTTACCCTAAGTAAGCAGGTATTAGCCCCACACACTAACTAGAAAACTAACAACATTCTGGCATCATTCCTCGAGTCGTGATGGAAAATGTGACTCCAGTGAGCACTATAAGTACTGCCACCGGCGGCGGCATCAACGGTACTCCTTCCTTTCAGCGTTAAATTAGCTCAAGTAAAAGGGATTGAATTACATGATATACATTGCGAAATACATAGTTGTGCAGGTGCATATTTTGAAGATGTTATCTGTTGTAGTGGGTACAGGCAACATGTTTCCAAGACATTATATATTGCATTAGAAACAGGCGGGATGTTCCCACGTTACAAATCATTTTTGTAAACATGATCTGTTTACTATCAGAATTAATTAAGAACTATAAAATTGTTTATAAAGCTTACATTTAAGTACTGTTGTAAAGTTGTGCTCAAACTTTAACAGCTCAATTTTGACGATTCATTATGTGCTATTACGTATGTTTTTGTGTTAATTGATTTTCAGAAAATACATTATTGTCTAGCAGTACATTGTTATTTGCATGTAAAAATTGATAATGACATTATAAATTGAGGTGGCTAGAAGCAACTTATTTCTAGTATATAGATCATGCCTACAATCATGATTTGTTTACATAACTTTACCAACTGAATGCTGGTTATTTATTATATGTGTTCACTTATCAGGTAATGTGACCTTATGTTACATTTAAGTACTGTTGTAAAGTTGTGCTCAAACTTTAACAGCTCAATTTTGACGATTCATTATGTGCTATTACGTATGTTTTTGTGTTAATTGATTTTCAGAAAATACATTATTGTCTAGCAGTACATTGTTATTTGCATGTAAAAATTGATAATGACATTATAAATTGAGGTGGCTAGAAGCAACTTATTTCTAGTATATAGATCATGCCTACAATCATGATTTGTTTACATAACTTTACCAACTGAATGCTGGTTATTTATTATATGTGTTCACTTATCAGGTAATGTGACCTTATGTTACATAGAAATGTAGGGATCATATATTGTTTACCTAAAGTAAACAGATAGGAGCCCCTTACCCTACTTGTGAGTGACCAATTTTGTGCTTCAACTCGCACTGTTATCCCTCAGATTGTTTCATCAGACCAAGGAACTAACTTTAGTGCGTCTTTGACTCATGGGATTTTATAAAGGATTGGACCTTCACGTAGGTTCTCTACCCCTTAAGGAATGATATACCTTACCATCAGAGAATTTTCGTTAAGACTGGGAAAAACAGCCATCATTATCTAGTTTATGTCTTACCGAGAAGTCCCTTTCATATGACTGGTTTTAGTCCATTCTAGATGCTTTATGGAAGACGTTCTAATAGTCTATTATCAATTTTGAAAACTTCACGGAGTAATGAAACTCCTTTTTCTCATAAACAGCTAAGCTCAGTAACTGATTACCTAATTGATTTGAAGTTGAAGTTAGAAAAGCTTGCTAAATAAGGAAGACTTACAACTGTTGTTAAGTAATAAGCTTATGCATTCTACCATAACCGTTATGAAGAAATTTATGGAAGGTGACGTAGTTTTAATCTCTGATAGTGGAAACAAAGTTTATGCAATACGGACTGGATCTGCTACGATAATCAAAAAGCATAGTTATATAATGCATATGTGTAATGTAATATTGTTTCTTATTTTCAATTTACTGCTTCAGCTTTGTCAGTAATTGAATTTTTATTAATTTGATTTTATTTGTTCTGGTTAAAATAATTGTTGCAAGTTAATTCTTTTTGTAAGCTGTAATTGGTTAACTTTAAGTTTGGTAGTGTTAATCCTTTAATTATCCTTCAAAGTAAAGTTTATTTAACTTTTAATTTTGTTTAAGAACTTAAATTTAATTTTGGTTTTATTTTTTTACTGTTTTTTAGGTTGTTTAGGTTTGACCCTTTATTTAACTTTTAAAATTTAAAGTTTTCTGTTTGTTACACTAGTTTGATATTTAAGTTTAATAAGTCTTTATTTAACGTTTACCCCTCTTTCTGGTAAAGTTTATGAATCCATATCTTGTGACGCTGGTGGTAATAACGACTAAGGTGTAACTAACATAACTTTTAGAAATGATTACTCAGCTGAATAACTGTGTATAGTATTTCAACTGTAAAAACAATTTTTATATTTGATTGGTTTGAATTCGTGAAGTATTAGAATTTGGAATTCAGTACTTACAAAGTGTTTAATTATGATAAAAATTATATAGTAGAATTTAATTCAGTGCTTGGTGTTTCCGACAAATTTTTGTAAAGGAAAAAACATTCATATTCTCAGAATTTTGTGAGAAACTATTTTTCTTATCTTTGGAAGACAGGGTCAGGGTGCAGAATATGCAAACACGAACATATGGCCAAACGTTTGGCCATATGTTCGTATTTGCATATTCTGCACCCTTTATCGCAGTGTTCTTTTGTATACATTGGTTTTACGAGAGTGTGCTTGCGAGGGTGAAAGTTTTGGCCGTTAGGCGTATCTGTATGTTAAAATGTGACCCTTGACGAGGCTAAGCTGGAAGAATTTTGTGTACGTCACATTTCGGCAAAGGGGTGTTTGACCTCTTGCTATAGCTTTGAGGGGTTGCATTGAAAACTGGAAGATGTTAGCCAATTTCTGGAAGCCAAAGAACACCCTTTGCCCGGGCGAATTTCTGGTTCGCACAGAGAGGGCTGCTGGAATTGGGCAACCGTTTCATCCTCCCTCATCGCCAAGTTCAAGGTTCCCGTCAAATGATGAAAAAGGGACTGGGTAGCTTGTTCCAGAGACTCAGACAGACCGAGACCAAAGAACGTCTGTGTAAAGAAGGAAAGGCTCCATAGACGTAATGTAAACCAGTTTGTCTTCTACGCCGCTAGAAAGAAGAGGGAAATTCGTCAAGGGATTTGGCGACGGACCCTGTTGGCAAGAATTTCTCCCTCTGTGATATACCGAACCTGGCCGACATTTACCTCCTCTACGACGTGTACAGGAAATTGAGGAACACGGGTTAAGATGAATAAGAAAATTAGGTGAAGTTTCGTTTTCACTGGCTGTTGAACTTGCATTATCCATATCGCAGTTTGATGTCTGATTTTATATTCGTCAATATGGAGGAGGAAAAAATGGAGTTACACAGCTTTAAACCCTTGATAAACGTGACCATCGAACCTGTTCGAACTTCGACATCAGTTTCGAGCTTTGGCGCTTTTTAGCGACAGATATTTCACGCATGCGCAGCTGTTTCCTTTCGTTCGGAGTGCGCCACTCCTGCTGCTGCGAAGTTTTCCATATTCTTTGCCAATACATATTCAATTCACAGCAATACATATTCTTTGCCAATACATATTCAATTCACAACAATACATATTCTTTGCCGAGACACTGAGAGAGAGAACAGAAATTAGAAGATCCTTCTTTTTTTTTTTTTTTTTTTTTTTTTTTTTTCTGCGACGTAACATCTAGAGAAATTCGTAACCAGACAGAAGAAAATGGCCAGCTGAATCAAGGAAGTTTGTCACCCGTCGGATAGAAGCGACAGAAGAGCAGTCCAGGGTGGAAACCTGGGTGGAGAGCCTGGCCTCGGACATTGATACTCTGCATCATGCAACCTGTGAAAAAACCTGTGTGTTAAGAAATCAAAATTATTATTGAAGTGGGTCGTCTTTGCACTTGGTGAAATTAAATAATTTTAGTCAGATATGTTATTTTTGTTGTTTCTTCAGTTCTTATATTTATACAAAGCTACCATATGTTTTACCTATGAAATGTAAGTATGTACAACTAGTATGTTTTGCTCATAATAAACGTTTGATATTTTTCTTTAACTTTATCTGTTTTAATTTTTACATTTAAAACACTGGACTAATTGTAACATCTATGCTGGGTTTATATTGCACTTACTATTTCACAACGCAAATATATGAAAATGTTTTTATTTTATCATTTTAAATTAGATTACTTTATTTGAACTTAATATTTGTGTCTACATTTTACACCATGTTCAGTACATTGTTGTTTAGACCTGATAAACTCTGGTTATGTTCTCGAATAGTATTTACATTATTTATGGCACAGAGACATTAGGTATTTTTTGAAAGCAGGAGAGTTGAAAAATGAGCAATGCCCTCACCGGAACATGCTAAGAAGGTGGGAGAAATACTTTAGAATGACACCTGTAATTTTCAAAGTAACGTAATATATAACAGAAGTTATTTGAGGTTTTGTGTACTTTTGCCTTCCCGCGAAGTGAGAACTGAATTAATTGAATGAGAAATATGTCTGCAATGAATTTCGAGGAAATAAGTTTAAATGATATGCAGAAAAAATACATATAATTTAATATTCTATACACGGAAATCATATGGCATCCGCATCAGATTTAATTTTTTATCACCTGTGTTTTCGATTATCTGCACAAATCAGTCTATTAATTAGGATCGATAATTGAAAATTTTGTGTAT